CTGCAGGGAGGCCACTGCTTTCACACAGAGAGCAAGGGTCCTTCTCTGCTGCATGCTGGCAAGGGACAGTTCTTTATACTCAGGTTGTGGCTGCTTCTAAAGGAAGCAAATGGTAAAGCTTTGCACACCTTTTGGTTTGATTCAACTACAAGTTAAATTGGGTTTTACAAAAATACTACCTAAGGCATAATTAGAAAAAAAGTCTTCTTATTTGACCAGATAAATAATATCTTCTTTGACTCCCATGTTTAACTGTCAGTTATGCCCAGTATGGAGTTAATGCAGTGATTTTTCTTGAGAAAATTGTGGTGTTTTGTGCAGTACTATTAGGATTTACCATGTCCTTGAACAGCTCAAGTGTCTCAACACTTGGATGAGTATCACTGAGGAAGGATTCTCTCAGATAGTCTGTGTTACCCATTCTAAGCAATTACATTTTTAATTTAACTTTCACATAGTGCGGTGACACTAGGAATAGTACAAAATTATTGGCTGTTATGGGCAACACAGGCTAAGAATTCATTTAGCCCAGTATCACTTCCTAACCTCATGAACTTAGGCACACAATCCTTGTGTGTTAGCAATTAATTCAAGATTTTGCTCAAGCATACTGATTAAAGTGAACCTGTGATGGTAAATATATGTAGGCTGCCATTGCTGACCTGCTCTGAGGGTTGCCATGCTCACTCTTCCTTAATCACATAGTCAATCACTCAGCTGAAACAAGCATGCAGTCGGTGAAATCCTAAATATAAACCTGCATGCTCCTTCTAGGTCAGTAACTCACTAAACAGTGAAGCAAGGATGAAGATGACAGCCTTTCAAAAGGACATGTCACCAGTAGCAATTCTTATATTTCTAGCCTCACTCCTTCCCAATAATATGGCTCTCCGTGGTTAGCAGCGGACAACTACAGTGAGTAGGATGGGTTCTTTGGTGGCGAACATGTGCCAGCATCAGTAGTATAGGGGTAGTGGGTCACAGTTCAGGCACTCTGGCCCTCGGGAGCTATTCTGAGTACCAAGACCAAGGTATCTATGTCACTAGGTCACAGAAAGCTCCTGACATCCCTATAAACTTAATCTCATTATTTTCTACCCAGGTTATTCAACTGTGGCAAGGGAAGTGTTATTTGCTACCCTAGAAAATATGATTATACAGAACAGATAATAAAATACACCAGAGCACATGACACTGTGACAGTCTGGCCTCAATAATGACATAGATCTTATAATAAAAAGGAACCCCAAGTGAGATTCTAAATAGATATTGAGTCAGGTGCCAGGAGATTAGTTATTGCCCCAGAAAAAGTATTCTAATGTAAGTACAAGACAAGTGAACAAAAGTTTGAAATAATGATTTTATCAAATTATTAAATCATAAAAGGCATGAAAATGTCAAAGGAGGATTGTATTTCTTACATCTACATTTTTAAGTTACATTTCATGTCCAGGCCTGTCAATTTAAAAAAATCCATATTAGAAATATAACATCTTGCATTGTAGGCATGTTTGTGTTTTTAGCAAGTTAGCCTGATTTCTGGAGGAATGCTCTTTTAATTTGCCAGTTGGGGCATTCTGCCTAGTAATTGTGAGAAGAATCAAAGAAAACTATTTTGTTAATATGCTGGATAGCCATCAGGTCATGACCATTGTTGTATACAAAAGATCAGAATATCTTTAACTGCTACTTCTAGGCATATTTAGCTCTACTCCAGCTACATCTGAAAATCTGATCTGGCTGAAATTAACCCTTCTGCAGCTTCGTGCAGCAAGAGAGAATACCCAAAAAAAAAATCTGTTTAGTCAGATTTTGCAGATTTTGTTGGACAATTAGAGCTATATATTGCAAAGCGATCAGTTTAAAATGCTTGCTAATGTCACCATTCATTAAAAAACATAGCAGGCAGATGGGCAAGTCAAGCTGCCTTCTTTCATAGATTAAGTAAAATCAGCACGGTTTGTGTACTGCTGTATAATATTCTAGGGCATCAAGCAATTAAATTGATTGTCCCAGTGGGGTGGAGAGAAATTAATTTGCATTTTCTTGACCTGTGTCCATGTCCGAAATATTACACAGGAAGAGAGCAGCATGTCATTGGTGCAGTGAGCAGATCTGTGC